GACCTCCATCTTGCTCATTGCGCCGTTCATTTTTCCGAAGAAGATTGAATTTATCAAATATGTCAGGTGCGGTGTGATTGAAAAAAAGCTGACGTGAAAACTACGCACTGACACGCAAAAAGATTGTCACATACAGGATTTTGATTTTATAGCTTTTTAGGTACTTTTGCCGTGACGTACTTGGCGGTGTTGATCGTTATTGAGTACCTAGCGACGGAAAATGAATCTGGGCCGGTGCCGACAAAACCAGAAAAAATTTCTGACATCATATTCCTCATCCCGACAATTTGTTTCGCATATCAGGTTTATCTTTCGATTTTTCACCATTATAAATACACATATGACATTTCTAATTTATATGCAGTACGGTACAGTAGTTAAAAAATGAAAAAAATTATCTATTTCTTCGCCAAATGGAGCAATTTTGTATTTTTTTCTGTTGGTTTTTATAAGCTTAAAAAAGGAGAAACCCAGACAGGGACTTCTCTGAGAAGCGATTTCTCGTCATCAAAATAACGTAGCACCTTTATACCTTCGAATAAGAAAACTGTAGCTACGATTTTGTAAAGAACATTTTGCTTATGTCCCTGAGAGCAGATCAGCATCGATTTCCCATCAGTACTCGTACTTACTGGACTAATTAATAAAATCAGTTTTTTCGCCAAAAATATCTGTTTAAAATACTAGCGTGGCCTGATTCTTCCCATTGGAAGCATTGAATCAATAATTGTAACCTATAATTCAAATGCAAGAATATATGTGCTGAATACATGTGTCTTGAATATATTTGCTTACTTTGGTTTGAAATCAAGAAAGAAAGAATTTCTCAAAGTTTCGATGAGTACAATGATATTAAAATCAACTACAGCAGTTGGATGCTTACAGCTCCCGGCTAATTGATGAGAATCGCAATAATCTTACTGATAATTATAAATACGTTAATAAATTTTATATCTGCTTCTATTCAGTTGAAACTCGAGACCGCATTCATTAAATATTTAGGATAGATTTTCAGATTGCGCAGTTTTTCTCCTTTCTGGATAATGGCTGCCCCACATCAAGGTGTGGTTGCAATGCATGGATTCGACAACCACATTTTATTTAGTTACAATTTTAAAAATATCTCAATTTTATGCCGATTAACGCAATGCTGTTTCATGCTGACCTTTGATTTCAGTTCGATTTTTTCCGTATAGTGCCATATGGGAAGTGTTCCAATTTACGCCGGTCTGCAAAACCGGAATTTGCTGAAGTACGGGACCATTGTCGGGCTAGTGTTTATTTTCGTGACAATCATTTACGCAATGGCTGGAATTTTCGGTCTGTTAACCTTTGGCTCCAAAGTAAATCACGACATTTCCCGGGGTTAC